CTTGGGGTGAATACTCTCCTGTCTGCCTATGAAGCCTCCCAAAGCTTTGCAGAACTATTGGTGACACAATAATTAGCTAATTTCCTTAACCTTGGAGAGGCCAAATTAGCCAAAGCAGATGGAAATCAGTGATTAAGCTTTATAACAACATTTTCACAGGATCTTACCTTTCCTTCTGCCTCTACTTCTAAAAGGATGTTCAATGTGCTAGATATTTTTTAAAACTTTCCAGGAGATATTTTCAAAACAAAATCTGGGCCAGCCTCAGCTCAGAAGAAGAGGATGGAAGTTCAAGTTCTTTGATTAATAATAAAGCATCAACGTCACCTCAGTGATCTGCTGGTTGCTGGGCTGCACTGAACAACAGTCTTCATTTCCTCCCCTACCACTTTTACCATTTTCTCTCCCATGTTTTTTACCCAATGATCATTACTTGTTTGTCCTTGGAGGAACTACCGTCACTCTGATGAACAGGTCACGATTTCCAGCCCATATTCAATTCACTCTTTCCCTGAAAGTTGCAAATATTAAGGTCTCTTCCCAGACCGTATTATTCATCCAGTTAAGTTCCCCAATATTTTCACTCCTGAAATCTGGTACTTTTGAAAGTCTGTTTTTGCAGTCCTAAACTCAAATGCTTCATTCTTTCGTTACAGAGGATTTTGTACCATGCAAGGAGTAAAAAAAGAAGGAAATAGCAACAACAGTAAAAACCACAGCAACGCCCCAGGTGATAGCTCAGATCCCTTAAAGGGTGGTATGGAAGTGGTACAAGGACCTTGTTTGGAATTCCAGTTCTGCACTTTGGAAGGCGGGTACAAAAGGGAGAAAGGGCAAAAAACTCTGCCTCATTACTGAGGCTGCTGACCCTTTTCTTCCAAAAAGTCCCTGGAGCCATTTCAAGAGTTACTCACCTACACGTACTTAGTTGTCTGATCACTGTTCCAGAGCTATTTAGAGGTGAGTTCTGTTTCTCACACAGATCTCAAGTCAGCAAATAAGAGTACTTGTCAGCTGAGTCATTTCTGCTAGCTTTGCATTAAGCACCATGGCCAGAGGGGATGCACAACAGAATTTAGGCCAAGTAGGAGGGCAAAAGCTCAGCATAACTCAATGCAAACTCCCTGGAACCGGGTCAAAAAAGCAGGCAGAGTTCAAATGACAGACTGTCACGGTTGCACACAAGAGGATCTGGCACTCCACACGGCCTCAGAAGCAGGAGCATCTCCACTGCCATGAGGGTGACGTAAGGTAATGCTCACACAACCTGATGGGATACCCACACATGAGCACTGCATGAGAGGGAGAGGACAGACCATCCAAACCGTTCTCAAAACCTCATTGTGCAACCAAACTGCATCCCAAACCCGCAGGTTTCATGCAAACTGGAAGAAGGAAAAGGAAAGAATGAATATCATCATTAAGTGCATTAAGAGAAACCGTTCAGGACAGAGAGAGCAGAATATTTATGAGACCCTCTGGTCTCAACCCCAAACACACTTTCTTTTGCACATTTGAATGTGTAATAAAAGAACAGCTACAATATCACTCCGAGGCCAGCCTCGCGGTGCACAGAGGCACATGGCCCTGTTGCTTCAAAGGGATAGTACAAACAGATCACAAAATATTCCCTAAACCGCCAGCTTCATTTTACTACCTGTCTGACTGTAATTCCTAAAATGAATAATCTCATCCTACCCTTTGAAAATACTACTAAACAATTCCTGTAGATAGGCCCCACCTGAAAATAATGTTCCAGATCTGTAGTCCTCACCCCCTAAAATTCAGATCCAGGATTTTGTTCAGATACATTCTAGAGATACGGTGGTGTCAGTGACAAAGCTGCAATGCTGGCTCTCCAAATATCCCTCCCCAAAGCTTGAGGGCAACTTGAGGTAAAAATCCAAGCTCATTTGAAAATTGCAGGGAGGTTAAAAAGATTTCAAAGCCATGCAAAATCGAGCAGCAAGCACAGCCAAGCTACCACCCAGCAAAGCAGCCTTCAAAACACACTGCATGTTCAAAGGGCTTGCAGGTTTTGCTCGCTTTGGACATTTTCCTAATACTCTCCAGCGAGAGCGGGGAATGGCATACTGGAGCACAATAGGAAAACACACACGCAAGCAAGGTCCCTGCAGCCAAGTCCAGCCTGTAAATTTGGACAGCTGACATTACAGATGTCTTCCTGTTGCCCTGCTGCTAAGACTGGCTGTTCTGAAAAGACAGATTGAGACAGGTCAGTAGGCAAACACAAAGCACTGCTCAGACACCCAGAAATATATTGGGTCAATGAACTACATCAAGACGTGGGGCTGAGCTACTGGTCACCATTTAAGAGATTAAATTGGTGCCATGTCAATAAAGAAATAGTAAAGGAGATGGCAGAAATCCTTTTCTCTTTCCATCTCTTCCCTTTGCTGCTGCTTTTTCCTCTGCCCGTTCTCTGAGCCTTGGTAACAAGCCCCAAGGTTTAAAGCAACACAACAGCAACGATTGCTGGACAGGATTGATTCTGGGATCAATTTCCCCTCGATACATGATTGCCTGTTGCAGGCAGAAGGCAGGGTGAAGGCAAGAGCTCTAAGTCAGCAATCGGGAACCCACATCAACCCCCGGGGTGTAAAAGGCTGCAAAGTTTTCCTGATAAGGTGAGGCAGAGCCAAAGAAAATAAACAGTGTTGTGGTATTCCTGCCTGGGAGGCACGAATTCTCCCTCACCTCAAAGCTTCCAGAGCCCCCATCAAAACAATTAGATTATAAAAACTGCTGAAACCAGAGCTTTTCAGGGAGGACAGTCCAGAAGTCACAGCATGACAAAAAAGTAAGCGGGGGGTGTTGTAGGGGTGGGAGCCCTTCCTCCCGTGGTGGCTGTATATTGGCACGTATTAAGCATAGACACAACAATAAGCAATAAATCACAGCCCAGGAGAAGTGCCAGGTGGAATGCACTGGAGGAAATTAAAACATCCCTCTCGATATAGTTCAACATTGAAAGAAATACAAAGGAGGGCAAGTTGACTTATCACCTGTGTAGCCAGGATGCTAAGGGGAAAAAGGTTTCCAAAATTTGCAGCTGAAAAAATTCAGTTGAATAATTTCCTACAGAAAAAGCTGAGCTTAAAAATTAATAATGATATCACAAACATCTTTTCAAACAAATAAAAAAATACCAGCTTTCCTTGGCTTTCCTAAGCTTCCTTCTTTTTTTTTTTTCCTCCTTCTCTCAAAGGCACAGCCCCTCCACGAGACTCAGCCATGGAGCAAACCTCCACAACCTCCACAAGCACACCAACTGGCCAGCACTGGAATTCAGCAAATTCTGACCTCTCACATTGCCAAATGTATGCAGCCCACCATGCTGTCTGAAGACCACACCTCGTGGTACAGACCAGTGATGGGCTTACATTGCTTAGAAGTATGAAACTGGTTGTGCTGGGATAAAGTTTTAACACCAGGCGACGATGCTGTGGCTCTCAGGTCCTAAGTAGATGGTGCTCCCGTGAGGTACCCTCCAACCACTGTTGTTTTTTTTCCCTGCTTGTTCCTTTTTTAGGCAGTTGAGCAAACCTCCACCCATTTGAGCTTTAATGGAACTGTCACAGAGAGTACTTACACAGGCTGAAACTGGGACACGATCTATAAATTACCGGAAAGTTGAACTCGAGATTAGGAAAAGAAAGAAAAGGAAGGACTCATTTCTCTTGAAACTGGATCATATATATGTATACACACATAAATATTCTGAAACTGAAACTCTCCAGGACAGCCTGAAGAGGACAGCTGTTATGTTCTACCTTTTCAAATCTCTGCTTTTAAGGGCTAAGGATGGGATGGCATTTTCCAGCTGTGATTCTCTTACTAAACACTTCGGTGTCAGGCTCTCTGTATAAGCCGCTAAACCTTTACACATTAAACGCTTCTGAGTCTAACTTGCAGTAATGACCAAGTTGCATTTTCCGAAAGGGATAATTAAGAGGTTCAGCAAAAACATAAAGAGCTAGCATTTTTATATTTAGACAGACATGAATTTGGTACAAGCTGATAGATAAACTCTACTTTTTGAAAATAAAATGATGGTGACATTTTCTGTATCATTTTTTTGGCCAGAGAACAGGGACATCTTGCACTAGGCCATGAAAGGAGTCCATTTAGACAGTGCTAGCAAATTCCTTCCTCTTGTCTAGCACAGAGGACATCAGTTTCAGACAAAACTCTCATCAAGAAGAGCAGGGCAAAGGCATGAGAGGAGAGGGAAGAGTGTTTTTAGAGATGTAGACATGCAATTACCCACAGCAGACCCCACTACACTCTCAGGGAGCGTATGTCTCAATCAGTTGGTATCACACTGGTTCACCTGCTAAAAAGGGGGATATTGTTCAGTTCCAATAGCCTTCTGCACTCATTTCTGGGTGGAGAACTGCTCTGGAGCCAGTGCTGACAATTAAAAATTTTTTTCCTACTCCCTTTAAAAGGTGCAATCAAGACACAGGATCTATCCAGGTGTAGGCGGTGTCACACTTACTTGAAATGAGCTATTGGGTTCCAAAAGCAATGAGAAGTGGCCATGCAGCCCAGCCCTGCCTCATCAGATGTTTGAGAGGTGATCGCTCAGATAAGCAAGAATAGGCTGGCTGCAACCCAAATTCAGAAACCTGCAGCCCTACAGCCAGCAAAGCACATGGAGCTAATAAAATCAACAGTGAAATGTCAAGATAAAAAATAGCAATAATAATAATAAAAATTAAATACTGCCAGTCCTTCCTTGGTAAAAATACAATTAATTTCTGATGAAAATTAATTAATATTTACCAAAAAAAAATATTGCTTATTCTCACTGTGCCTGTCATGAACGTATATATCAGAAGATGCACTTTCAACAGTGTATTTTGTTTTGTAGTGATGAAAAAAGGCATTCTACACCAAATCAGACTAGAATGCGTTTCCCTGGTGCTTTTCGTTTAAGTTGAAGTGGAATATATCAGAGCTGTAAATTTGCTTACCCTTCTGTTCTGTACATGGAGCATCTCTCCAGAGGAATTTTTAGCACTCCATTATTTAAGCCCACGAAGAGCGACCTGTCGCTGTGCAGGATTTGGAGACTCTTGATTGCTTCCCGTTGTCCGTCAGGAAGGATCTGCATTTCCTCTAAATAACAACTCCTCAGGCTCCTGTTAGTGGTAGAAAGGGCCTTCAAGATGGTGCCATACTCTAGTGGAACAAGAAACAAGGCACGAGTAAATTTTGCAGGCATTGACTTCACGTCACACCTACCTAAAGACTGAAATATTAATGTCATGTTTACACAACTGCTTTAAACCTGGTTCTGTGTCACTTTCAAATTTTAACACACCTTCTGCCCGTGGTACAGAGTGCCCCAGCTACATGTTTACAATCCTCAGCAGTTCTCAGACATTAGAGAAACCGCCTGGGACTGTATTTTAATGGCAAACCAGAAGGATATGAACCATCTGAAGAGCAAGTACCTGGAAATATTTCCCAGTTGGAGCGCTGAGGCCAAAATCAGTCAGGTCCTGTTACCAGTGAGCTGTACAGTAAGGTGACCTGAGATAGCAGGGATCATTTCTGGTGCCTCAAAGTCTATATTTCTTTTGGTTTATGGAGCAAATCGGTGTGATGTGATGCCATGACAAATGACAACAGATGCAGAGGCCCTGCTGGAAATCTCAGAGGCCTCTGTAATGACTGCATGGGTCACGGGTCTAATTGATCCTCTTCCTGGAAGAAGCCAACCTGCCAGCCCGATGAGGGGATGTTATGGCATCAGCAGTGCATATGCAGAAACGTATACGTTTGTGTTCACAGTGCTCTTAACTAAACAATTTAAAGATCCAATAGTGTGGGAGATCTATGCTGGGGAAAAAGGGGTAACCATACTGCTTTTCATTAAAACCCCAAAAGACATCTGTCAGTCCCAATGGTTCTTGAACTTCAATCTTTTTATCCAGATAACTTCTGTATTGGTGCCAAAGCTCAGCAATTTACAGCAGTGGAGTTGGCTGCCATGTGAAGATTTTTTTTTCCCCACTTAGCAGAACCTTAAGGGTGGAACAAGACTGAGGCCAAGTTTGGGTTTGTTTTTCTCAGGATTGGATTTTGTGTTCAGGGCTGCCTCTGAGCAGGGCTGTCTCTGCTTAAGCATTTGAACGGGTTAAACATTTCAGGTCCAGCAGAGCTTCATCTTTGGTCACCACTAACCAGGGCAAGAATACAAATGAGTAAGAAGCTGATCTAATGGCAGAAGACCTTTCCACACAAGTGATGCGAGGCAGAAATGATCCCAGTCTCTGGCTCTGAAACTGAGACTCCTCGCCTAAAATATCAAGATATCAAAATAACAGAACCATGTCATATTTCCATGTTAGTACAATCTTCTCATTATAATCAATGCCCAGTGAGGCTCCCACAGTGGGAACATTACTAAAGACATCAAAGATGATCACTTTTGAAGTAAGTGGAGGTAAAAGTTAGATAAATTATGACACAGTCCGGGAAGATGGTAACACGAGAATGAAGCAATGACTCTGCATTCAGATTTGAGATTAAACTAACACTTATGGAGGCAATCCATCTTATTCTAAAGTCAAAGCTTCTGCCATAGAGGATAACAACATTATACCCATGAGGCTGACCATATGCTCTGATTAATCAAACTATTTAATTTAACCTTTATGATTAGAATGGATATGGGCTAAAACAACCATTTGTAACACTTTGTCCTTCCTTAGCATCTTTCATTTATCCAAGAGATCTGTGCCTTTCAGAAGAGGCAGTGTGTCCTCCTCATTAGAGGATGGCAGTAGAAATTAAGAAACCCAAATCACACACTTAATACTATCACTGGCTCGCTGTGCACAAAAGCACACATGCCTCAGCTTCCCCATCTGCATCATATTTGAGTGCATGCTCATTCCTGAAAGCACAGGGACTCATACCCTAGTAGGCACATGGAAGTGCAAACACAAACAATTAAAACCTCAGGCAAGCCTAGAAGTTAAGTATTATTATTTTGAGATGAGTATATCATAGTGCAGAGAGGCAACTTATGTGCATAAAACCACAGAACATTTTAGCAACCTTTGCTCTTTCCCGCTGTAATGTATTAGGCTGATCAGTCGAAACATGTTTTTATAAAAGGAAGAAAAATGTTATTGTTGTTTTCAAACACACTGTAGATTTATGGCCCATTCACTTGGGACTCTGCTTCAAGTCCTCCATCCTGCTTCTAATTTAGTCAGGCAAGCTAACTTTCATGAAGTTTTGTGCCAAAATGATATTGAATGACTACTGTGTAATGGTGCCATGACCGGGCTCTGAGAGATGCTACATCTACAAACAAGCGGAGGAAACTTTCTTAAGCTCTGGTGCTCTTACCTGTCCCAATATACATCACGTGGTAGAGAGTATCCTTCCCCTGAACGATATCAACCACCAGTTTGGAAAACCGAATGCTGTCCTGAGTCACATACGGATCTACGGTGACCGGCTGCACCACGTCGTTCATCAGGAAGAGGCGCTGCGCGTCCTGCAGGACTCTCTCCGTCAGGTTCTCGTTAGGGCTGTCATCACTCAGCGTCCCACACTAAACATGGAAGATTGAACTTCAGCACCTGTGTTTTCTCCCCACACCAGTAGCCCAAGACCAAACCCTGAAACGCTTCTTTGATTTCAACCAGCCATGCCCTGGTGATTATTTGAGGAGGCAGGTCTGTGTGAAGGGGCCCAGGCCCAGGCCCCTAGCCTGGGTAATGGCTAGCTTTGGCCTGTAGTCCACTAAAAATGCTTCTCCCAGCTGCTCCACTGACCACTACTGTGGTGTTTCATTCCCTGGTGATCATCCCCAGCCACTAACCGCCCCCTCTGTGCACACAGCTCTTCAGTCTTCACAGGCCATGGCAGATTGACCTGTGTGAATCCATCCTCCAGCATCAATGGGTGCACGGGGATAGGACTCGATGCCCTGTCCATACAGCACGGGGGGGAAGAAGGGAGTTTATCTTCTGTCTTTTAAACACCAGCTCAAGGCCTACCTCTTGTTAACTGATCCTCACAGTTTCAGTAGGAAGAAAAAAAAACAACACACACGCAAATTTCTTTTTCTTTTTGGGTCCAGGTGTTTGGTCTTTCCTTGGAAGGGAAGTTGGTATGCTGCAAATTAGGATGTTGATCTACAGCATCCCAGCTGCAGTGTACAAATTTCCCATGTGCATGCTCTCAATATGCATCAAAGCAACTCTGCAGTGTGGCTGCCTTTCAGAGGTGCACCATGTGGAGCTTCTCTTACGATGTGCTAAAATGAGCTCATAGGAATTTAGCTCACATTTACACAGTCGATATGAATCTTAACAGCTGTGTACTAAGTCCTACAATTGTCAAACCTTTAAGAACTCACTTCAGGAACGGACATGTTTGTCACAGTTGTGCACAACTCGGTTTGTCCAAAAATCCACCACCAATGTCTTGGAGCTTGTGGGAATTAATTGAGCAGGGTGATGCTAGTTCACATCATCTATGAACATGGCTATTTGCTTATCAGCTTTAGCGTTTTGAACCAAGTACCCAGACCAAGGAAATATCAGTGTGGGTTGGGTTGGGTGGTGGTTTTTTTTTTTTTTTTTTTGACATGTCTTCAGATGAGCTTTAATACCTTTTTATTGCAAAGGTCATTTTCTTTCATTAGTGTCTCATCCCAAATTCTATAGGGTTTTTAATTGCATCTCTTCTCCTGTCTCCTGTACTCCTTCTGGTTTATACTCCTGCCTTGCTTTGGATGCTTTTCTCTCCACTCTCATTTCTTTCTAGAGCATCACTGAAGGAGGAGTCCCAGTGGCAGGAATGTCATTGTTGGTTTTGTTTTCTATTCTCATCAAGTCACTGATAATCCTTTTGGGCTATTGGCAGCCCGTGTGCTGACACAGCATCCCTATGGTTTGGTTTTATTTTGTTTTGTTCTAATTTCCTGATTATCTGCACTGCCCTGATCCTCTATATCCTTCAGTATTTCTCCTTCCTCTCTGCAAGAAAAAAAAAATCTGGCATCCTTCCCTCATCCTCCTTTGTGAACACTGAGGCAAAAAAATTAATTTAATTTTTTTGCAATATCTGCCTCTTTCTGTCACTAAATTACCCTTGTCATCTCCTAAAGGCCCTTCACTGACCTCCTGTTCCTCCTGTACTTGAAAAACATCTTAATCTCTTTTTGCAATCTTCCTTTTGTCTGCCACATACCTCCTTTTCCTTTCCTTATTTTTCCCTGACCCTTTTTTTTCATCTTGCTGCTGCAATCTTTGCACTCCACATTTTATCTGATACTTTTCACTACATGGAAATGCTTTCCAAAGTCCTTTTCTATTCCTCCTGGGTTAGTCAGAAAGTCTTTGATTCTTGGTTAACCTTAATATTCCCTTTAAATTAAAAAAAAAAAGGCTGAAGGGAAAACAAAAAAAGCCCTGGTCATGTTTAGCATGGTTGGGCCTTCAGCAAAGCTTTGTTTCTTGGTTTTGAGTGCATCAAGCTGAGGGGGTGATCAAGAGCCTGAACTTGTCCCACCTTGTAGAGGCAGAAGCCCTCACTCAGGTGCTGTGAGGGAATTCAGGGGGAGAAAGTCAGGTTCCTCAGCAAGAGCACAAGCGTGTCCCTGCCTGCAGCATGGACCTGCCTCCCATCTGCTCCTGCAGTGATCTCAGCTGACTGCAGAGTCCTTTTTGGAAGGTCCCTGACATCACCACTTTGAAGGCAGATGGCATTTGCAGACAGCCTCAGCACCTTTGCCATTATAAAGCAGAACCAAATTCACACAATCAGGCTGAAAGGATTCACTGTGCAGGAGCAAGGACAGAAAGATGAGTTTGTCTTCCCTAGGGTTCCCCAGGTGGGAAGGGGCTGAGCTCTAAAATGGGCTCACACTTCAGAGGACTCAGGTTGTGTGGGGCTCTCAAATTCTTACTTTGTGCTACAGTGACTGAATTTGGGCATAAAGCAACTATCATGTTCTATACATTTCAAATTGGCATAAACTCATAACCCTGGAAAACTACTCATTCATAAACCCAAAGATTTTTAAGGCTAGAAGGAATCACTATGTCCATCTGGCCTCTTCCACTACTTACTTCTGCAACATGTCAATAACTTCTGGCTGAGCTACCGTGTCTTGGAAAGACATCCATCTCACACAGAAACACCGGCTGCCTTCAGGGCCCCATTAAGCGATGGAAAATTCATCACATCCTTATGCAGTCACAGTAGTTAATTACCTTTCTTGTTTTAAAATGTCGGTTGTCTCCATTCTAGTTTGACTTTGTCAGCTTCAGCTTACAGTCATTGAATCTGCAAGCTTCGGTGGGGATATGCAGACTTATCCCCTGTGAGGACCATATGCTCAGAGTTCATGTATTGGTGATGAGTATAACAGAAATAAGAGAGTAGGAAGAGTGGATTTTCCCTGATGTATCAGAGTTTGGGTCCATCTAGCCTGATGCAGCTCGCACCATAGGCCAGTATTGCTTGTTTCAGGCTTTTTTCAGGGAGGGCATTCCAGTGATATATCCTGCAGGAAACCTTTCCTCCAAAATTTTTACCCAGAATACCATCCCTGGCCCACAGATATTTTAAATTCTTCATTCTTACAAAAGCTCTGTGAACATTTTTATGTGTAAAAACTTAAATTTTCCCATATATCCCATGTGACTGTGCACTTAGTCACATGGTCTGAACTTTTGGGTAGACCTGTGCGGTGTCAAGAGTTGGACTTGATGATCCTTAGGGGTCCCTTCCAACTCAGGATATTCTATGATTCTATGATTCTATGTTTTCAATAACATGTGGCAAGGAGTTCCACAGACCAAAATACTCATGAAGGTAGAAAAATATCATTTATCTCCACTGTGGATCTTCCTGGAAAAATAAGCCCCTGTAAGAATCAAGCCATTGGAGTGACAGAACATTAAAAGGACTGGAGCACACTGAAGGGCAGTAGCAGTACCTGGAAATTTGGGATGGGGTTTAACGTCGGCAGCCAGGCAGATCTGGGATTCTCTTGGTAACGGAAAGGGCCGTTAAATGCCTGAGTAATGGCACTCAGATTGAAGGCACACACTGCTGAGGCAGCTATGCTGTTTCTGGAAAAGGGGAGAAAAAAATCAATTTAATCATTAGAACATTGACATTTTCATCATAACAGACATCAAGCTTCACTCAGATAAAATACATGTAAATTGCTAGGTAGACGTACAGTGATACCAATCTCACAGGGAGCAAAAATAAATAAATAAATTGTAAAATGCAAATGAATTGCATGACAATTTTTGAGAATGAATTTTAAGCTTGGTTTTAAAATGCCTGTGATTTAAGGGCCACGGAAGTAGTTCTGACATGAAAGGTGAACACAGTTTAATTTGCATGGATTATTTGCGTCTGGTTTTATTTTTATTTTTTTACCACCCCATCTATCTTGATTGATTACAAACAACATAATTTTTAATCTCCCGGTGTTTCTCAAGGTGAAAGCCCGTTTCTACAGCCTCCTGAAATCTTCAGCTATAAAATATATCCCCTAATGTTTATATAGATATATATATATTATTTGTAAGTATACACAAGCATGCACACGGGCAGGGGGAGGGACAGAATGACAGTGCACACCAAGCTGGTTGTTACGGCAGCTCAGCAGGCAAAGATGTCTTGCTAATACGTGCAAGCCTCTGTTTGCAGTGATTACTCCTTCGTGCTCCCAGCCGGGATCAGCATCTGTCTGGGGCAGGCTGCTCCCCACGCACGTACGCACCAGCCAGAGGAGGCACGGCGAGAGAAATGCCACCGCAGGAAGGACTCTTTGCAAGGGAATTTGTCACAGGGAGGTGATGCTGCCTGGGCAGACTTGCACACAGCTCAGTTGGCCTTTGCTGGCCCATTTCAGCCACGGAGGGCCCATTTCTGCAGGGTCCTGAGCAGGCTCAGCGCTTTTTGCTTCCATAGGGTTCAAGTGCACCTCCCTGATGAGCCGGCATCTCCAAGAAGCAGGTCCATTTGCTCAGTGGTTGCCTGAAATTCAAAACCTGCTCCCAGCCCTCTCCCTTTTTTAAAGGGAAAGAACATTTAGAGAGAAAGATATCAAAATAAAACTAAAAATAGGGCTAGCACAGGAAACCGACTCGTCACAGTGCCTTTTAAATAACCCAAGCCCTGCTGTATGTATCTTGCTGCTAATTAAAGCAGTTTGAATTCTCTGAGAGGAACATTTTTTTTTACTAAACCAGTAATTATACTCTCTTGCGCAAAAAAAATAAATAAAAAAAAAGCCTTGCTCCACAGTCCCAGGCAGGAAAGTAGAAGGCCAGATCCTTTCACAGCATATTTCTTCAGAGCAATACAACGTCAGGAGGAACTTCTTGCTTTGCCTTCCCACTCTCCGCTCCTGCCCCTGCCCTTCCACCCCCCGAGTGATGGAGTAGCTCCCTTTGAACATGTCAAAGCAGCGCCAGGCAAACCTTTCTCCACTTTTGTCTGAACACCACTGACGCAGTGCATGCTCACAGACGGCAGCTCTTAAGACAAAGCTAATGATGGATGACAAGTAAATGCCTTGAGGCACACATGGGAAAAAAAAGAGAATGAGAAGGAAAATGAAAAAGGAAAAGAAAGAATAAAACCCTGATAGTCTAACAAAAACACTTAAAAAAAAAAAGATTTTTTTAGGTCCCTGCTAAAGACTCCACAATATAGCCCTTTCCTTTTGAATGAGGCTTTTGATGAAATAATGCTATCTGTGGCCTGGCATATTTCCTATCCCTCCCTACTAAAGCCCAGATCCCAGTCTCAAACCAGTGGCATCAATTTGGCCAGCTGGCCCTTGTGCTGCCCTGGTGGGAAGTGCAAGCTCCTTTATTCCACCTCCTGCTCCCTGTGACTAACTAGGTGAGTTAAGTTCAAGGAGGCTTTAACATAGTCTCCAAAAACTTTAATAAAAGCTTCTTAAATATTTCATCAACAGCTTCCCCCAAAAGCTCTCTTGCCCACTGATTTAGCAGGATATAGCTTAAAATGAAGCAATAAATCTTTATATGGGTGTTTCCACCAATAAGTACGATACAGACTAAAAGCCCTTTGTTATAAGATGACCGTAACTGCATTAAAGATGAACCTGCCAAAATAAAAATACCTTTAAACAAAAAATAATAGTTTTGTGGTGCATCAGTATTCCATTATAAAGGTACTCAGACTAGAGCGCGCATCAGCCCTCTTTGTATGCAGCACTCATGCAGCATGATATAAGTCCCAGTGGAAGTTAGAAGAATAATTACCATTATTTCTCTAGTCGGATGACAAATTGGAACATTTTCTCTTTGAACTCTCAAAAGAACATCATGTTGTAGACCCAAAACGCTACTTGATCTAGCTTCAGCTATTATCAATAACTCATCTCTTCAATTACACAAATGTTACATATTATATTGTCCTCAGAAGATACCAGAGGGAACACACACCCGTAATGTAAGAAGAGTGACTTAACTGCAATCCGAAGAGGAAAGGGGTAACACTTACCAGGTCTCATGCTTTAGCAAACCTGGGAGACAGACACAGCACAAAAGAACTGTTCCAACCCGAGCCAGTCTGTCTCCTCTGTTTTACACAAAATCCATATAAATTTGATTAATATTGTACATTTATTAATAATTTTATTCTCATTTCCAATTTCCGTTCTTGGCTGGATGAATGGACAAATGGATAGATAAAACATTATCACTACGGGCATAAAAGTGTCTCTGATATTAAAAAAAAAAGTTGTTCCATCTCAATTGCCCATAGCAGTAGCCAGGTTTCCTTTACACATTCAGGAAGTTTGGCTAACAGCCTTTAAATGTTTTTTGGGGCAACAACTCATGCTCCTTTTGACTCCAGGATAGATTTCCCTGAAGTCCACAGTCAAGGTCCAGTGCTCACTCATTATTATTTTTTCACAGAATCACAGAATGGCTGAGGTTGGGAGGGACCTCTGGATGTCTTCTGGTCCAAATCCCTCCTCAAGTGGGGCCACCCAGAGCAGATTGCCCAGAACCATGTCCAGGTGGAATGTCCATTTTGAAAATGTCCAACAAAAGAGACTCCACAACCTTTTCCTTGTCACTTCTCCAACAGCTCACTTTTGGCTGATGTTGGCAACAGTAGTGCAGAAAAAAAAACGTGGAAGGTGAATGAGGGTGGCCAAACACTTACCTACTTCTTGGCATTTACAGACTGGAAATATCATTTTGGATCTGTTGACTTTATAAAAGTCATTATAGTGAAACTCCCAACAGTGCTCTAGCTCAAAAAGTTGGGTCTGATGCCTTGTGGCTTCAAGGGCTGCCACGCCAAAGAGAACAGACCTAAGGTCTGTACTTCAGAGAGGCTTCACTTCGTTGTTTTGCTGTGGGGCTTCTTGGGACCAGACACTTATTCATATTGAACAGCACTCTCTATTGCACAAAAAGCCCCAAAAAAGTTGGCTAACCAGCATGAGAAAGATATTTTGAGTGGTTGTCATGTGGAGTAACTAACTCAGATTTTCATCCTCTAGTTTACACATCAGGATAACACCCCCCTGGAGAGCATGCATTATTGAAACTCAATACCACACAGACTGGTTATAGCTTGAAACTTATCATCCTAGCCTTGGGCTTCAGAGAAAAAGTTATTTGAGTTTTTCTGACTTAAAAAAATACATTATGAGTTTTTTAATATATTTTTTAATTAACTCCTCTTCTCTTTTCTGCTTTCACAGCTACACTAAATCATTCCAATTACAAGTTTTTTCAATATCAAGCCAAGAAAAGGTGATTATGAAGTTTCAGAAATCATTCCTTCCCCTCAGATTTCCAACACTGCTTTTGATTTATGGACCCCAAACTGTTTGTAGCAGAGGTACAGACCCACTTGGAAATGTTAAATGCTGTGTAGCCTCCATGACCTTGCTTCTATAATATGTTGTTCAGCAGTTTATGTTGATTTCAGTCCCTGCTGTTGTCATCCTATTTGCCTCTTTTTCCTCCTTCCAATACTTCTCTCCCAAGCACATGTACCTGTCCATTTCTAGGGCCAATCTCGATGTTCCCACAATAGCGTCAGATCATTCAGGCAGTGAACCTGGCTGAAAAATCTTTTTTTTTCTACTGGGTCATTTTCATACCAGCTCTCCGAACAACACAAGTAGCATTGGCACTACAAAAAGTCAGAAGTCTGTCACAGCTCAGTTTTAAATCAAATTAAGTTACCCTAGAAATGTACTGTCACCCTGTAAGGGACTCCAGGCATCCATGAACAACGGACTAAAAACATTGTCCTAAAGGCAATGCTGCTGTGATGGATAATACAGACCTATCTATTCCTCTGCATTAAACCAAGGGATCTTTCAAAAATTATTGCTCAGACTGTCTAAGAAATCAGAATATTGCCAGTTTCAGACTGCTGGGGATAGAAGAAGGGCAGTAAAACCAGTGCAACTTACACATTAGTGGTGAAGACACCATAGATCAGGTCTTGCTCAGGAAGGTAGAAGGTGCTTTGCAATTCATTATAATAGAAAGGGATTTCTCCAGCACGGGAACAGTTCAGCCTGGCCTTCATGAAAGTTGTCCATGTGTCCTCCAGCAAAAATCTCCCCCCAATGTCATTTTTGCAGACTCTGGCCACACGAGAATACACTGTTTTCCCACAATCGTGTTCTACTGCGTTCTCTCGGAAAAAGAAGTAGGTGAACAAACCGATGTCGTAGGCAGCAATAAAGTTAGGCTCTGAAAAACAAACATGTGAAGAGATTTATACAGGTCAGAAATCAATCCGTGCTCAGTGACTTGCCCAATGCATTGCACTGCCAGCTCCTTTTACATCGGCTGTCAAAGCTGCGACCACAGGGAGTTTGGAGTCAGCAGCAGACATAAAAACAGTAGATGAGAATAATGATATATGGGGGTACAGCTCTAGCTCCATTTTTCAGATCATGGAAGGATCCCTTCATTTCCCCACTTTATTGGCTCTGCTGCTACTGACTTCAGTGAAAGCAGAGTTTAACGCTTTGCATATGCACGACTACTCTCTGTACCTACAGTTATTTTACGACATAAAGCCTTCCCATTGGGTTCTTTTACCTATTCTCTTCTGAAGTGCACCTTATGGTGTGTTAAATATGCTGCTTGCATCCGCCCAATTCCCCAGACTGCTGCATTGAAACATTCAACCTATTTTCCCAGCGCAATCACATCTGGCTTTTATCACAAAGCCTTTCCAGTTTCTAGGCACAAAAGATTATCTTATGTCCGTAAAACAAAACCACGCCACAAAATGACAGTATCAGAGCAAGCTCTCCTTAATTCTCTTTCTCCTGGAATCATTGTTATTGTTTTCACAAGGATTGAAAAGAACCTGGTGTTGGTTTGTAATGAATATTTTAATTGGCTATTTAACAAAGCTTTAAAGTGTACAGTCTTTCATCCCAACAGTTTCTCTGGCAAAGAGAAAAGATTGGCCAATTAATAATATATGACTAAACAACAACAACAAAAAACCTGTTGGTTTTACAGGTGCTTTTACGATGTTCATTTCTGAGTAATGCTCAAAGGAAAAAGAAAAAAGAAAAGTACAGAATTTCTTTAATGTTGCAGCCCAGGGGTGAAAGGAGAACGGAGTCTGGCAGAGGAGAGGGCAGACTCATGGTGCTGCAAGGAAGGTTTGGGAGGTAGAACATGGTTCAGAGGGAAGGGCACTGCAGAGCATCTCTGATCAAACTTTCTCTTTCAGACAGTGAACTTTAAAGGGATCGCTGTGATCACCAACCTGACCTTCCTTCCGTCTAATATGAACCAGAGAATTTCACCCTGTAATTCCACCATCGGATCCTACAACTCACAGGTGAATTAGACCTCGTTTTTTGAAGGAGATCTGATCTTACAGGACAACGTCACATGGCTTTACATTCATCACTTTCCTCAGTGACTCGTTCAAATGACTAATGACTGCCCCAGCTGCAACCTGCACTTCTTCTTCCATTTGACGTTATCTGGTTTTAGCTTCCAATCACAGGCTCTTGTCATGACTTGTCTGTTAGATTAAAGAACTTTATCCTGCCAGAGATCTTCTCCCGGTGTAAGTACTTCCATATCATGTGCAAACCACCTTTTATCTCCTGTTCAGAAAGATAAATAAATTGAGCTCCTTAAGTCTCTCACTGTGAGGCAGACTTCCCAAGCTTCAAATCACTCCATGGCTCTTCTCTGAATCATCTTCAAGTTTTCTGTTTCTTGTTGAAAAGTGGCCAGAATGGGATGAAATTAGTCCAAAGTCACCAATACTGCACAAAGTTGTAAATCCAAGCGTCATGTTAGCTTTTCCAAACACGGACTAGAAACTCGGTTTCTATTTGTCCTTCTTTAAACTCCCCTGTTCCAAGGTTCCCCCGTGTGACTTCCTTCTGAATTCTTAATTCATGTGCAGACAAGTGGCACATATTTCTAATGAGTGTATATGAGCTATGCTACTAATTGTCCTAATTCACTCACAGTCTTGCCTGATAACATTCTTCTACAGCTCCTGCTCTCTATATAATATTATCTATGAGTGTCTGCAGAAGCTAAGTTCATTCTCATGAAGTTCCAGAGAGTGCACAGTCCCACCGTTCATATCCTTGATTGAAAGGTTCTGAAATCCAACAGAAATATTCTGAATACTTGGTCAACTTACCTGGGCCTTGAGAGAGGAGAGAGGAAATATTGGGGTCTCCATCATTATAGTCTGCTCAGTCAAGGTGTGCTTTGTCCCAGCCAGAGGATATGGACTTACTGCAGGAACTACTGGTTGAAATTCTACAACTTGTTTGATGCAGGGTATTATCACACTGGTAACAGCTGCTTTTAATAACTATAAGTCCACAACACCATGGGTTTACATGTAACATAGCTTGCTGTGAAATTTCTCGTTTTCAGACTGATCTTGTACTGAAACGAACCATTGTCAGCTGAGATAGTGGAAGTAGAGTGTGCTCAACACATTGCAGAACTGGGTCAACAACATGAGGCTTTATTTAACTTGGATCTTCAAATCGTTGAGGGATTTTCTCATTAAAAGGATGCACTTGGTCATCTCCGAAGACAGAGACCCATAAATATATTAAGTAGCCTGTAAGACCCACTTTGCATATTCTAAATCAACTCCTCTGACATCCTTCCAGGCTATTTTTAAATGTCTTCTAAGCTGCACTGATCATTGCACCGGAAGCCCATCCCCATCATAACTCTGGATTCCAATAAGAAAACAGAGGGAAGGATTTACAAGCCTGCCAAGTTGACTTTAATACACCTCTTGCTCAGATACGACCCACATGACTTTACCATTGAGCCATTTGGAGTTGTACTGTGCTGTCCTAAGTGGGGGAACATTTCCAAGGCTGCGGTAAATAGCAGGATCCCGTCCAGAGAAATCAATTACAGTTGCAGCATAGAGTTCTCCTCGTGATGTAATCACAGCTGTCGAGTTATGCCGGGGGTCATACGGGCACCGAGCCACTCCATTAATTCTGTCAATGATTTTGCTAAGATTTCCTACCTGTATTTAAAAGGAGAGAGGAGAGAATTTAAAGAGCAGCTGGCTTTCGTACTGGCACAGAGAATTCAGTTTGCCCATGAGTACCTCCGAGCAAAGCCCTGATGGTAAAAAAAAAACAGGCAGCTATAAGACAATAATGCCAGCGATGACTGTAAATTGATCTTTACATACATCACTTGCCAATGTAAGAAGTTGTGTCTGAGCCTCACTGATCCTCCTGCTTTGTAAGAAGGGTAATTCCCCTGCCAATAAAGCCTGCAGAGTCCAACCCACTCACAGTAATCAGGTGCTCCTCTTGCTAGCACAGGTTTCTAATCTTCCATAGGCACCTTCTGAATGTGTACTGGCATTAAAAAATATAAAAATTAACATTGCCTCCTTTGAAGCCAAAGGGAGTTTTGCCATTTATTTTGAAGGAAACATTTAAGCATTCAGCTCAGGAGGTGCTCACAGCTAAGCCTGTCTGTATTGTCCATTTTCAACAGCATACCCAAGGCTTACATGAGCAGCACTTTGTCCAAATCTGGCCCACCCATACCATGGGTTTTTTGCTCCCCACCTGCAGACACACCACCCCCTGGCCCAAACCAAAACAATTTCAGATCAACTGCATTTGGAACATATTCTCTGCACCCATGAAGCCCTGTCAATGACTGGCCTTCCCCAGAGCATGTACCCCAACCCCTCCATCACTGCAAAAGAGGCAAAACAGACCTGACGACTGGAACACACTGGCGAAAAGGCATTGGTGCCACAGGTAAAAACCTTCTTGCCATAAACAATCAGCACTCGGACATAGTTCTGACACTCTTCCTGTAGGGACACAAGACAGAGACGAACTTTGAAAAGAAGACTGTGGGGTTATTTATTACATTAAAAAGTACCTGTGTGGGAGCTGGAATGCACCTTCTTTACCTTGGAGCAAGATTTGTTGCATCAAGTGCTGCAGCAGTGCACAGCTGTAGGGAGCGAGCAGTCTCCGTGAGCAAGGCCACTTTGCTGCTTACTTCTCTGACCACAATCCTGCACGAATAATCTCTGGTAGGATGCTATCCATCAGGCTGACTCTGGGTTAGCTACACAACTGGCTCTTTCTTTCTGCTTAAATTGGAGGAGGAATCCTCCCTCTTTCCATGATATTTCTGACCTGCTTTTCCCATCAGTGCTGCAGCTTTGACAACATTACCCAGACACAACTCTGGTGAAGGGCAGAGGCTCTCCCTGCACTAGAAGTCACGCCGGTGTAGCAGGAAAACAGCAGGAACTTCTCTGCAATGGGAGAATCATGTGCTTGGACAGACCGTTGCTTCCTTCCACCATGGGGCTCCACGCTCAGGATTTTCCATAGTGGAAGGAGTTTCTCTTTCAGGCCAGGACAGAGAGAAATAGCAAAACCCCTCTTCTCAGCCTCTCCTTCCCCCTGCAGCCTCACATCCCGACACTGGTGGGCTGCAGGTCAGACCAGCCGAGTGTGCCTGGGATGCTCAGTGACAGAGGGAGAGGCCAGGGCTTTCTGAGGTGACCTGCAGGGAGAGGAGGTGCCAGCACAGCCTGTGGCAGCCCCCTGCCATGAGATCCATCCCCACAGCCCCGCTGAGGGATGCCTGCTGAGCCCAGAACCAGGCTGCCTGCCCTGGGCTCTGGGAGCAGCGCAGAGAGGAGGAGGTGAGCGATGGATGGCTTGTGAGTGGCACCCACGGGCTCCAAGGGAGGAAAGGCAGTTATATTCCACTGTAAACAGAGACGGGAACTTGTTAAAAAATAACAACCTCAGCTGGGTTATCCCGGCTGCCTTGCTTTCCTCCCTCCAATAGATCATAATTTGCTGCTAAGCTGAGCCTCCAGCTGCAGACACCGCTTCTCCTGTAAGCAGCAATCACTCTGCGAGCTTCCCCGTCTCACAGCACTCCACGCTGCTGATCAGCTCCCTGAAGACTTCATTTGCAAGATTCAGCAGTGTAAAAACACTCCGTATCAGCTGGAAAGGGGAGAGGCTTGTTTAGCTGGATTACGAACTACCATCTCCTTTTATTCGCTGTATGGAAATCAACTTGCTGGAGAATGGCATTTAGCAACCCCCCCCTGGCAGTGGCCGCAGATGAGCGACTGCATGGGCACAGCGTCTGGGGCTCATCCTAAACGGAGAAGTGTGCAGGGACTGTGCCCTGAGCCAGCCTGGGAGCACTCATCCGGCCCAGGCAGAGGCCACAGAGGTGATGGAGTGGGGCTGACCTCAGCAGGGATCTGGGGATCCGACACACAACCCCTGGCACAGAGGAACCAGAGCTTAAATTCACAGTGGGGTTGATGAGGGCTTGCCAGCGTCTCTGCCCCCTCCTGCCCTTCTGTGGTGCTGTGAGCCCTGCAGGTTATTCCCTGCCCTAGCCAGGTCTGCATTTCACGTTAAGTAATTCCTGTTTTACTGCACAGTTACCCAATCCCACGTAATCCTAGGACCACTGTATATTTAACTGTGAAGGACCAGAAATTCTTGAGGAAATGAGATTTAAAAAGTACAGGCTCCTCTCCCCATTGAGTTTTTCCAGAATATGATTGATTTGGCATCTAACCCAGACAGCAGCTCTGTACACGACTTTCACATAATAAGAGAGCATCCACCTGCTCCCCTCTGCTTTCACCTTCCTCTGCGCCGTGCGGCCTGAGCGCAACATCTGCCCTAAGCCAGCCAACACCACTAATGTTGCCGCACTCTTTTCCAGTACTTAAACATACTCCTAAATAAAACTCCGTCCTGCAGAAATCTCAAATCCTAACTTGCAGAATTCTCTTCTTTGCACAGACCTATATTAAAGCTTTAATTTCTGTGAAAATCCTCCCAGCTGAGAAGACAGAACACAAAAAATAATTTCTCTGTGAGATCATGCTGGATGCATCTGTTGCACACTTTACTCCAAGGCGCAGTAGCCCAGGTTGATAAGGATGCTGGAAGCTGGTAAAATATTTTCTTATTTTGGCCTAATTAAGCATGGCTTTCTTTGTACCCATTCAGTCAAAAGCAGAGGTTATTTATTGAAAGAGAAGAAAAACCATACTGAGCCAATATATCTGCTGCTGTCTGAACCTGCACCAAAATATTTCATCTGTGACTTCCAGCCCATTCCCAACTGTGCTAGCAAAGAGCAAAAGAGCACAGGCAGCGCAGATGAGGTGTTAGATTGGAAACATTTGACAGCTGATACTTTTCAGAGAACTGGATGTACCAAGCCCAATAATTATTTCACTGGCTGTAAAAGGCAGAAACTGGGGTGCCTGGTGGATGTTTTCTTCTCCTCTGCTTAGATAACATTGCTACCAGGTGTGGGCCATATCCCACCACAGTTATATCCCTCTGAATTAACTGCCTAGGCTCTGAGAAGGCTTTTTCCCTGGACTTGCCTTACTAATGATGGTAAAAGGGCTCCACACTCCTGGGGCAAGAGCAACGATCACATGTACTTTTCATCCACTGGTCTCAAAGCAATTTGTAGAGCATTAAGTAATGTTCTAAAATGGACGTGCATTATCTTCCTGTCCTCCGGGCTGGGTGAATTGAAACACACAGGTGCTAGAAGGTTTGCCATGGTGACACTCTGAACGAGAGGAGATCCTGCAAGATGGGGACAAAGATTTAACTCCCACACCCCACCTGGCTAACCTGCCGGGCTCCAAGAGGAATCCTGTGCTCATCTGGCATTTCTTATTGCTGTGCCCCCTGCCAGCCTATGCCAACTTCCAACAAAAGCAAGGAAGAAGCTGAACCACTAAAACGTTCCAGCTTGTGGGATTTTTCTTGAGACACTGTTGGTGACATCTACATCAGGTCCCCTTTCTGCCCTGTTCTCAAAATAACTAGAAAGGGACGGGCTCCCCTCTGTGCTCTTTAAGCCAGCCGGGATCTGCTCAGAAAAGTTATTCACCGTGCTCCCCTCTACAAATAGTAGCTCAGGCAACTGGTTAGTAAAATGATTTCCCAAGCACTTACAGAAAATGGGAGCTATTTAGTGCAGCTTCTTCCACGGGCCTGGAAAATTCAGTTGTACAGGAGGCAAAATTCAGATGGGCTTTATTTAACATGGCTGGAAAATCTGGCAAGCTTGAACCCCAGCTCTGTCCAGACAAGACAATGTTTGGATCCTGCTCTCACATCATGGAGCAGACGGTTCAGTCTGTGTGTGATCAGACTGCAGATCTCATCACCAGAAAGTATTATTGGGATCATGAGATTAAGGATTTAAATAAAGGGAGAAGACTCAATATTTATACGGTTAATGAGAATAACCCAGTTATATTAGTTGGGATTATCATTAAATATATGGCAGGGCTGATAAAAACCTGTGGCTCACAGCCGGAGCATTAAACATATCTCTGATTTTCCTCTGAAATACATGTTATTGACTTTGGGGTTCTCATTCCTTCCTCCAAATTACCGGATACTGGTGCTTTTTGCAGACAAGGCCTTAGACTGAGCAGAAATCACTTTCCCCTAGTCTAATGACCCTTGTTTTCCTAGGAGGCGCACATCACTGGTAAAGCTTAATCTTTATTGAATCCCCTCATGCCCCTCCTCGCTTTAAGCCCATTCTCATTTATTTTAGGCTTGCAACATTTAGATTTCACTGTGTCTGTGAATGGCGTAATGTCCACCGCTGTGGGTAGGAGCAGGGCTCTTTCTAGCAATACAGATGTCAGCCTGCTTTGAAAGCACATTTCCAACCCCAAAACCCAAAGTGTTACTCCATTCATTCGCGTGGACAGACCAGCAAATGGAGGGGCTGAACTCCTGCTGGCTTCAGTTTGAGGTAAAATTCTAAAAGACATTTTCAGGATGCAAAGAATAAGCCAGCTGTAGGTGCTTCTTGAGTCGTTTCATCTGTCATCTCCGAACACTGGAGTTCTGAAATGTTATAAGCCCTTAATCTCATTGTACAGAGGCATTTTTCCTTTGAAGGCCTAACCGTATATAGGCACTGCTTTAATTGGCCTTTACTTTGAATAAACCACTCAAGCTGTTTTCTGAGATCTGCTTTTTGATTTTCGATTTTTTTTTTTTAGCTAACAGTATTTCATCACATACCAATACATTTTGATCATAGACTAAAAACACAGTTACATGCTCTATCAGGAAAATAGCTGTTTCAGGTTGTCTGTTGTCCTCAGTAAGAAATACAAACTCTTCAGAATATGGAAATTTATCTTGGGGTTAGGCCAGGGTATTTAAGAGGAGAAATAGGATGAAACTTGGCAAAGATGCAGCTACAGCCTTCTAACAGAGCTACAAAATAATGAAAATAGTTTCACACAACGTGCAATTAATCTGCAGAGCTCACTGCCAGTTCACTGAGGCCAGAACACAGCGAGATAAAACAGGTAGAGGGGGGTGTACGTGGGGAATGAGGACATCTTGAGTAGAAACAGCAAGTTTTACCAAAAACTCATAAGGACTGGTCCACAGCGACCCAAAGCCTGCCTGTTCTCCCTAGCTAGATCAGCACCGGCAGGGGTTACTTCTTTGAAACCTGGCTCCTCTTTTCCATTCAGCTCCTCCTGGCTACATCTACAAGACTCTAACAAAATCCAGAAGCTGCAAAAAGAAAGGAATTCTGGTTTCAGGAGATGTTGCCATGATGGGAGGTTGTCTCCCTACTGATGCAAGTCATCCTGCACGTTACTCCTGAGGTTTGGCCCCCAGCGATGCGGCAGGACAACGCGATGCTCGGTGTCAGCGCAGCCAGCAGCACTGTGCTAGGCTGCCAGCAGAGAAAGCAGGAGCCACATCAGGAGGCATCCGGGGGTAGATCAACCAGAAACACTCA